CGAGTCTCAGGCCAAGAGTAAACACTCAAAATAACGTTTATTTAACATCAATTAATTCTTAGAAAACATTACACACTTGAACATTAGTTTTATCAAATTATTACTTATAAAAAATTTTAACTGCTTACACTTACTATTTTCTACACTAGCTGATTAAGATAGAGAGACTATACTTACAGTAGAGTTTGAGTATTAGAAGTCTTTGCTACGTTGCTGAATTTCACTTTCATTCTGGCCTGGAGAACTTGTTCCTGGAGAACTTTCTTCAGTCCGGGAGAACTGATTTTTCAGCCTCTGACATGGGTTTTTAAACTCTATTTTCCCTATTTTCGACCCACTAAATAGGACACAGCATCACCCACAAGTAGTCCTGTGCTCCTATCGGGTACTTTAGGGGAATTCCCGGGCTAAACCAGAACCTAAACCAAAACTCTCAAGTCATTGGTCAAAGATAAGTGGTGTTAGCCGGCCGCCTATTCACTTGTACTGTGCCACTGGGGGCATTAATATAGCTAAATGATAGAGGGAATAATAAATAAACGGTAAATTTCTGAGAGATAATACAGTACTTGAACAAATGCATGAATTCAGTATTTGCTGTTCATATGCTGAAGTACGGCAGTTTAAGGTATCAGCTGCACATCTCACATGCTCTCAACGATACTAAAAAGTATTGACCATTTGGATTCCATATTACTAATATGCCAATGGAAGTAACCGGAAAGAAATTGATGTAAAATGTCAGGAATTGGACTCAGAGATGCTTCAAATTTTAAAATGTCTTCAGTTTCTCAAAGGAAGTTCAGCTTCTCCTCAGGTTCTCTGATATTCATTCATTTGGACGCCTCCTTTTGAAAACCCTGGATCCACCACTCAGAAAATAAAATAATTAACTGTAACTACACTGTTCTTTTGAAGGACGACACACATTTAGCAACTGTTTAGAAGCAATAATGCGTTTTTTTATATTATAATCAACTATATTATTGTTAACTTATGCCAGAAGTTTCTTTGTTTTTGTTCAGTATTTTGTGAATCCCATAAAGAAGCAAATTACACTTTTCAGTAGTAAGACTAAGCTTTGAAATTCTAAGTCCAGACTTCTTTAAAATATTGTTTTTTATCTCAGTATTAGAAGCAGTTTATATGATAAGGTAATAATCTGAATAAACAAAAAGAAAGGCTGGTCATGCGAAATCAAAAATTAGGGTTAATGGTTTAAGTGTTAATTCAATTCAATTAATGTGAATGTGCTATAGAATGGTTTATGTGCTTCCTATGCCCATAATAATTATGGGATTTTTTTTTCAAATTTATTGTAATTTTCAGATTTCCCAGTATGAATACACATATTTGCTCAAGTAACACTTTAATTTTTCGTTTTGAAAGCATGCAAGATGGGGTTCACAAATTGGCAATTAAACAAGTTTCTTACAGAAAAGATATCATGTGACATCCTGAAATAGAAAGTTACATTTCCTTTAGGAGTAGCTGCACTGTACAGATATTAAATATCTGGACACAGATATTAAAAAGTGTGTTTCATCCACAAGCTTGGCTTTGTTTCTATCTTTTGTTTTGGCATTTAAAGCCAAGTTTGCATCTGTAAAACAGTCAATATGTTCTTTGTGTAGTATTTGGAGAATTACATAATGTTTGTGTAACTTGTAACTTTTAAATTTTTTTATAGATTCCTTTTTTAACTCGGAAAATTTTGTATGACTAGCTTTTCGTATTTTAACTTAAATTTGAGTTTTTACCTTGTGAAGTGAATTAATGTTAGATATTTCTTTTCTGTCAAACAATCAACCAACCATAAAATTTAAAATATAATTCGTGACATTGTGAAAGAGCAAAATTCTATTTTTTATTATTATAGTTGTGGTTATCATTTATTTATTATTTCCTTTTATTGTTTAGTTTATCTACGAATTTTATTTGCATTAAAATACTAACTTACTTCTGGTGACCTACAGATACAATTAATGTAACAGAGAGTTTGTAAATTATGATCACATAAGGTTGTACTCTCGTGACGTACTCTGTGAATAAATACCCTATCAGAAGCTTCGCTAAGAGAGAGAGAGAGAATCTCGAGATTATTATTGAAGAATATTGTTGCGTCATCGAGATCATGTGATTCTCACGCTCTCTCCTTTCTTGAATTATCCTGTACTTTGGCGAATGTTCTAGTTCTTACTAGATATAGGGTAGGCGGATATATATATAAGAGGGGAATGTAACGTGTCTGGGTAGATAGTGTGTAATTGATCTGCGGTCAGAAGTATTATTGACGTTCGTTGATATAGCGCGATTGTTGAAGTAAAGTTATATTCGGAAAGAATAAACCAGTTTTACTAAGTAAAGACTTGTGTCGCTT